ACAGACAGAAAAGACAGAATTAGTATTGCTTGTCCTCCCTTTACTGTGGTTTAATCTGCTTTAGCATTTAAAAATGTTCTTTCTGTTGTGCAGGAGCAATGCATAAATTCCACTAGACCAGCATGTCCTATATAGATTTGTTCAGTATAACTGTAAACCAATATCAAATACTGAAATAAGTTTCTCTCGGAACCTTTTGACTAGTTTCTAGGAATAGATTTTGAAGAAATCTTTATTTTTTTAATTCATTTAAGTGCATACGAATAAAATATATTCTCTGGACATTCTTCAAAATTAAAGTGTTAATAAATTGTTAAAATAGTTTTAAAATATTCCGTGTTGGTCTGTATCTGCGAAAAAAAGGAGTCCTGTGGTATAACAAGGAATAACTCTATTCATCTCTAAGGTGCCCCCGGACTCTTTGTTGTGTTTAAAAATATTCTTGGCAGTTAACAACTGTGAGTCTACTGGGTTTACATTGTACAGATCTAAAACTAATTTGTCTAAACATCTTAATTCATAATATACAGGCAGTCCCCGACTTACGCGGATCCGACCTATGTCGGATCCGCAGTTACGAACGGGGCTGCCCTGGAGTACACGGACTGCGGGACCTTGCGGTCCTGCCGCCCGTGTACTCTGGGGCTTTCTCTGCATCTCCCTGGTCTGCAGCCCAGGAAGATGCAGAGCAAAGCCCCGGAGGGGCTCGGGCAGTGGGGCAGCCCAGGCGCGCCTGGACTGCTCCGCTGCTGGCTTCCCCGCAGCTTTGCAAAGCCGCGGGGGAGGAGGGGGGAGAGGGCAGCGAGCAACTGACCAGCGCTGACTACAGAAGGACACTTCTTTGGAGACTGCTGACCCTAGACCTTGAGAGACTTTATGCAGCATTTTCTTCCTCACTTATTTGGAAATACAATCTCCCAGCAGTTTGGATGTCTTTCCTGCTTTCAGATAAAATTATTTTTCTCATCTTACAGTGTTTTAATGACAGAAATTAGGCTAGTTTTTTCATTCTTCTTTAGGAGTAAAAAGGATCTGACAAATCTTCCATAGTCTTGTTATAATGCTGAGTCTCTTGATTCTGGCTAAGGGAAGGTTAATAGATTCCAAGGCCAGAAGGAACCATTATGATCATCTAGTCTGACCTCCTATAGAGGAGAAATTTGTAATATTGTTGAAGAGTTAAACCTTTTTTTCACAACACATTGTAATCTAAATAATAAAATTGAAACTGTACATAGGTTAGATTTAAGCTTAGGTTAAGTAAAATTAGTCACTCATTAGTTCTTTCATATCTGATACCTTTAATCAAATCCATTACCATTTAGAACAATAGATAATTATTGTGAATGGTCATAAAATGATTTAAGTACATAGGAGATGAAGCTAGCAATTTCTTTCTATTCTGAACTGCTGTGAAAATACATTCAGAATGCCATTTTGTCATTACTTGGACTCTTAAAGAAAAAATGCTTTTCATCCCACTAGAAATAATTTTTCATGTGAATTTTTGAAGAAATAAAAATGAAGATTCTCATATCAAAATAATCAGCATATCTCTCTTGTATTCAGAATATTCTTTTTCATAGATTAATAGAGAGTGAGGCCAGAAAGGATTGTTAGATATCTTGTCTGACCTCCTGTATATCATAGCTATTAAAATTTACCCATTTACCTCTTTATGGATCCCACTGTTTGGCCAAAGTATATCTTCCAGAAAGATACCCAGTCCTGATCTGAGGATGTCAAGAGATGGAAAGTACATAACTTTCCTTAGTAGTTTGTTCCAATGATTAATCACACTTGCTGTTTTAAAAAAAAAAGTACCTTATTTCTAATTAAATGTATCTAGCTTCAGATTCCATCCATAGGTTTTATTATTCAATTCTCCACTGAATTAGAGAGCCTTATAGTATCTATTTTCTCCTTATCAAGAAAGGTAATTGTACACCATAATCTTTCTGATTAAATATAAACAAATCAAGCTCTTTAAGTCTCTCATTGTAAGGAATGTTCTCCATCCCTTAAATAGCATTTGTCCCTTTTATCTATATTGTCTTCAATTTTGCAACATCTTTTTAAAAAATGGGGATATCAGAACTGGATACAGTGTTACAATATCTGTCTCACCGGTGCTGTCTACTGAGTTAAAATCACTTCCCTACTGCTACGGTTTACATCCAAGGTTCACATTAGCCTTTCTTGCCACACCATTGCACACTGGGTGCTCATGTTCAGTTGGTTTTTCACTGGGACCTGTTTTTTTCAGTGTCACTGCTTCCCAAGATACTGGGCTGGTACAGCCTGTGTTCCTTGTTCCTAGACAGATGACTTTGTATTTGGCTGTATTAAAATACATTTTGTTTTACTGGGCCCAATTACCAAGCAGTCCAGATCCATCAGTGTGATTCTTCGCCGCTCTACCAATGCATTAATCGTCTTAACACATTTTTAATTTCTGACACCACAAATTTGTTTTCACTGATAACCTTAATGTCAAGCATAACTTCTGGTTGGAAATTACAGAAATTATTCCAGGGTTGCCTCCTCCCATTTGTGGCAAAAAAGCAGTTTTCAGACATAAAAGAAGGCCAAGACAGAATCAATATCAGTGTAATTAACACCTTCTTTAGTATCTTAAGGATTGCATCCACATCATACAAGGAGTATTCAGAGAATATATTCAAGAACCACAATCTCTGCATGTAACCTTGGCATATCCTGGAATTTGGTGTGCATTCATGAACTAGCTTTTGCTATGGTTTCCTACAGTATTCTTGCTAGCAAGTTAAAGAAGTATGCATTGGATAAATGGATTGTAAGGTGGCTAGATCATCAGGCTTGAAGTCTGGTTGGCAGTCAGTATGAAACCCAGTGCTCCAAGGGTCAGCCTGGGGCCAATTTTGGTTGGATGTCATGAAAAATTATTTCATTAGGAGGGTGGTTAAGCCCTGGAATGAGCTACCTAGGGAGGTGGTAGAATCTCCATACCTAGAGATTTTTAAGTCCCAGCTTGACAATGCCCTGGCTGGGATGAATTAGTTGGGATAGGTCCTGCTTTTAGCAGAGGGTTGGACTTGAAGACCTCCTAAGGTCTCTTCTAACGCTATGATCCTATGAATTCTAATGCCACTGTAAGGAAACACAGTAGTCGGTCAATAAGGAGAAGATTACCGGTTCCTTTCTCATGTTATCTTCTAATTGATTGCTCGGGCAGACTTTTAAGTGATCAGTGTCCCAAATTTATAATTAAAAAGTTCTCATTTTTTGTCCCTCTTTAAAAGGGGAAAAACAATAATTGTACAAGAACATGAGAAGAAGTTAGTCATAAGAAATGTTTAGAACCCTCCAACACATAGTAAAAACTCCAGATTACTTTTTAAATAAAATATGGTTAAAATACATTGCTTGAGAATGCTCGGGTTCCTTTTGTAACCCTGAATCTGCTTGAATTAAGTTATATATTAACCACACAATGCAATACATGAGACAATGTGCATAGGGTATCAACTAGAGCTAAAGTTTCATGCAGTTCAAGAGTTCATCTAGAATACTCAACAATTTTGATGCACGCTTTTATATAACACTGGAAAATACAGCTGAATCAACTAAGATTCGATGTAGTTTTTGCTCAGTGAGTAACCATTTATTTTAATTTCCTAAATTTTACATATAGTAGTTTTGCAAGAGGTTAAATTGGAGGGTCATAGATTGGTAACTTCATTAAATTGGTGGGTAAATAGCAGAGGCTTTTTTGATGAACTTCTTACAATTTAGGTATCTTTTTATACATTTCTTCTGGCTACTCTTTGTTGAGGTACTAGTTCAATTGCTTATACATTTATTTATGAAAATAAGCCATAAGTCTGTGTGTAATTTCTGGGTATTTTTTTTAAAAAATGGAAATAGTCTAGAATTTTGGAAATTTGCAAGTAGTGTATATGGACAATATTTATGATTTCCCATATTACACAGTCACCATAGATTGAAAATAAAGCATTAAGTAGAAGATATTTTCAATTATGTTATGAAGTAAGTGAAGGTATTTTTCACTCCTTTAAGCCATTGAAAAATTTTGCTGTCAAGCTCAATATAGTAACAATCGGTATAGTAATCCATTTTTAAATAAAATAATCACTGAGTACAGGTCCAACAGTTTAAAAATACTTGTTTTGGACAAGAATAGAGCACTTAGAGAGCAGTTAATTTCACCTTGTGTGCATGGTGCTATGTCAGTAGGAGAACTTCTCCCACCAACATGACTTCTGCTGAGGTGGTTTATTGTGCCAAGGGGAGAGCTCTCTGCTATCAACATGCGGCATCTTGAGTAGATGTGCTGCAGTCATGCAGCTGCATTGGTATAGCTATGCCACTGCAGTGTGAACATGTATATCTGCCCTAACTTTCCTTTGTCACATGACTGCCCACTTGCTTTTGAATGGTTTCTTGCAACATATGTCAACATCTGTCGACAAAACTTCTGTCGACAAAACCCTGTAATCTAGATGTACCCTTAGTCTTTTTGTTTTCTCTTTCAGAAACACATTTTATATGCACTGTATGGTGGCCTCAAATCTCTGGTGGACCCTACTCTTTCTGTCTTCCCCAAACCTCTTACTGTTTCAAAAAAGAAGAGCAGAGGCAGACAGAAGAAAAACAGAGAAGGCCTGATTTGTGAACAGTGGCTTAATTGAAGTCAGTGGCATTATATTGATGCAAAACAAGCAATAGTGGGAGGAGAACTAGTCCCAATGTCTTTAACGGCATCCTATCGTAAGAAGACTAAACAGCAGAGTTCCACCATAAAGGAGCAAAGAGTCCTCAATTTTTTTACACCATATGCCACTCTTATTTGCACTGGTGAAATTCCCAATTTGTCTTAGACAGAAAATCTTAAACTCTTTTTCTTAAGGCTCCCTTCCTTCCTTCCTTCCTCCTAAAAATGTGCACTTCATAGCACAGTAGCTGATGAGTACCTAGGAAGCAAGTGATGACCTGATTCTTAGCCAGCCCTCCAACTCCATTTTACCTAAGTTATTCCCTCTCACAGGCACACAACCACAATCCCTATTTTAATCAATAGAAAAAATCCCCATGCCTCACAGGAGTAGAAGAGCTTTGAGGGGAATTGCAGGGTACCAAGAAGTGGCTGTATTTTAGTATGGATTTTGTAGCTCTGGAAGTTCTTATCTGGGCACTCAGTTGTGTTCCTTTGACTCAGTGAAGGTGACTGAGGTTGAACAAAACTAGTTGAAGGGCTGCAAAGCTGATGCAAAAGGAAATACCATGCCACTTATTGGTTCATTTGGAGTAAACCAAGGCCATGATACTTAGTCCAGTTTGGTTGTTGGTAAAAAAAGATCCTGCTGTTCATTTAATGCTGTTGAACACAAAGTCAGTGGCTAATATAATTAGTGCAATCTGATCTAACAGAATGTTTCCCCGGCTGTAGCATAGAGTGATACTACAGTGCAATTGTTGGCACAATTGACTCCATTTGGCTATGTGATTGAACGTGACATAAAAGTGGGTTGAGGAAGAGATGCAGCTTTGATTTTTAACATGTCAAATGTAGGAGATCTCTCATTCTAGTTATTTAAGTGTGTTCATCTTTTATGAGTGTCTCAGGATGAGGATAAGATAGGATTAGCAATTACTCACAGATGCTGCTACTCTAGCAACATAACTAGTTAATTAATAAACCATTCAGCCTGCTGTTACATTCTGAATATAAATTCTATTTTATGTGTGTGTAATTTTATTAATGTTATTTTAGGGGTGTACAGCTTAGGGTGAAAATTAAAGAATTTCCTTAAAATACTACTTATGGATCATTACCATCACTAAGAAATAACATTGCCTGTTATTTAACTGGTTACAGGTAGAAAGATACACTGCACATACAACATATCAGAAATAAAAAACAGTGCATTTAAAGTAGCTTACCAGACCACTTCCTCATGATAGAATACTATAGAAGACAAAAAGAGCTTCTAGGTTATTAAAATTCTAGATAATGGTACATGACAATAGAGCGGAATGTAGGTTAAAGTAACAGTGACAATTGCTATCTCAACCCAGGGTTATGTGGACTATTAAATACCTAAACTAACAGTTCTAAATATGCATATTTCCATGTTTTTCCCTATATTTCTTTTCCAGGATTTATCTTTCTTGTGTTGTACTCAGCATCTGTTTTTTGTTGTTATTGTTGTTGATGATTGTTCCAGTGAAGCTGTAGAAGGTGTTGTAAAGAAAAATTGCTAATGTGGTTTGTAAACTACTTCCTAATTTTATGTATGCTGCACGCTGTGTGTGTGTATTTTATATTATATACACACACCCATTACTGTTTGATCCATATGTTCATGTGTTATGAATATCCATTTTTTGAGGAGTAACGTTAATTTGAACCAAGGGTTTTGGTTCGAACTAACGCGTCCCGGTCCGCACTTTCACTTTCGAAACAGCTGTTGAGCGGAGTAATACACTGGCGAGATCATGCTAATGAAGCGCAGGATATTTAAATACCTGCTTCATTAGAATTTCGGTTGCCTACATTTGCATCCCTAGTTTGAACCAGGGAGCAAGTGTAGATGTACCCTTAGAGACTAACACAGATTGATTCATAAGCTTCCATGGGAAAAACCCACCTTAGTCTCTAAGGGTATGTCTACACTTGCCCCCTAGTTCAGACTAGGGATGCAAATGTAGGCGACTGAAATTCTAATGAGGCAAATAAAGCATACCGAAGTTGCTAATGAAGCACGGGATTTAAATATCCCGCACTTGATAAGTATATTCACAGCCGGTCGCCATTTTAAAATGCCGGTCACCCGATTTAATGTGCCACGTGTAGACATGCAATGAGGAGCAACAGTTAATTCAAGGGAAGGGTTTTAGAATGGACTACCGCGTCTACACGTGGCAAGTTAAATCAGGCGACTGGCATTTTAAAATGGCGACCGGCTGAGAATATGCTAATCAAGCGCGGGATATTTAAATTCCGCGCTTCATTAGCAACTTCGGTATGCTTCATTTGCCTCCCTAGTCCAAACTAGGGGGCAAGTGTGGACATACCCTAAGGTGCTACAGGACTACTTATTATATCTGGAACACCCTTGGGCTATGTCTAGACTACATCCCTTTTTCGGAAAAGGGATGTAATTTAGACATATCGCAATTGTTAATGAAGCGGGGATTTAAATCTCCCGTGCTTCATTAGCATAAAAATAGCTGCTGCTTTTTTTCGTCACGGAGCTTTTCCAGAGAGAAGTGCCAGTCTAGATGCTGATCTTTTGGAAAATAAAGCCTTTTCCGAAAGATCCTTTATCCCTTATTTCAAGAGGGATAAGGGATCTTTCGGAAAAGATTTTATTTTCCAAAAGATCAGTGTCTAAACTGGCACTTTTCTCCGGCAAAGCTCCGTGCCGAAAAAAAGTGGCAGCCATTTTTATGCTAATGAAGCGCAGGAGATTTAAATCCCCACTTCATTAGCAATTGTGATACGTCTAATTTACATCCCTTTTCCGAAAAAGGGATGTAGTGTAGACGTAGCCTTGATGTCTGCGCTCTTTCCTGGGATCCCATCTGGGAGCTTGGAAAACAGGGAGATTTAAACAGGCAATGGGGATGAGGCACTCTACTTATAAATACTACTGGGGTGAAATTCTGTGTTGTGACGTAGGAGATGGCGGGCCTGTCTAAGTTACAGCAGCCTTCCCATGTTGTCCTGTGGGTAGTAGCACTGTCAGAAATCTCCTGACTACTGCGGCCCTATTGCAACAGATCGCCCCCGATACATTGGGGCATGTGAGGGGGTACCTTGGGTGGCAGTCTTAAGGAACCAAAGTTTCAAAGAGGAAGGCAACATTAGTAGGGCTAGCAGCAATGACAAAGAAGGGCCAGGAGACAGATGATACCTGGTTTTCGGGTGTAGTGCAAGCCCTTGCAACAGCCCCTAGAGACAGCCTCCCTCTAAAGGAATAAGGAGGCTCAAGATGTCCAGGTACCTGTTAAACAGACAACGGGCTGGGCAGGATTGCTTCAGGTAGCTGAGGTTTTTTCACTACCCATCTAGGCTATGTCTAGACTGGCATGATTTTCCAGAAATGCTTTTAACGGAAAAGTTTTCAGTTAAAAGCATTTTCAGAACATAGCATCTGGATTGGCACAGATGCTTTTCCGCAAAAGCACTTTTTGTGGAAAAGCGTTCGTGCCCATCTAGACGTGCTTTTCTGCAAAAAAGCCCCGATCGCCATTTTCGCGATCGGGGCTTTTTTTGCAGAAAACAAATCTGGGCTGTCTACACTGGCCCTTGTGCGCAAAAGTTTTGCGCAAAAGGAGTTTTGCCCAAATGGGAGCAGCATAGTATTTCCGCAAGAACACTGACAATCTTACATGAGATTGTCAGTGCTTTTGTGGAAATTCAAGCGGCCAGTGTAGATAGCTGGCAAGATTTTCCGGAAAAGCGGCTGATTTTCCGGAAAAACTGGCCAGTATAGACACAGCCCTAGTGTTTTCACTAATGTCATATAAAGCAGTAGATTAGCTATTCTTCATGTCTTTATAAGTATATTCAAATAATGGTATTTGCTTCTTTTATTGGTTCTAAATTGTGGTAATAGGCTTAAAGGATGAAGTAATCATTTTGATTTTCCCTTTCTTGGTTTGTATCTTGTACAGCAAGTTGTATCTTACTTAAGAATCAGACTCTTCAGATGATACAATAATCCCTCTAACATAGCTTATCTCTGTATTTAAAGGCAGCTCAGTGTTACTCCTTTATAGTATTTAACTGTCATTAAAACTGTCTTCCATTTGTAGCAGTGAAAGTGCATTTGGAACGGATGTGCAATTATTTTACAGTAAATATAGAATATTACAGTGTTTTAGCCAGACTGGGTAAATATACGGTTTAGTAGTTCTTCAGATCCAGTTAGATTCATTTCTTTAAAATATACACATAAAAATTAGTAAACAAAGAAATGGTTACACTGATTTTTTTTTTCATTTCAGTTCTTATGGGAAGTCAGTTTGTGAACTAAATTTGGAAGTCTGGAATTAATCTTCAGGAAAAACCCAATAATTCCAGTCTCTCAATCGATGTTGTGTATCTGCACTTTTCTTCATTAGAATTTTTGAAAATTGAATTTCATTTAACCTAATTTTACATTACAGGACGAGGAGGGCAAAGAACGGAAGAAGTTTTAATTTGTGTAATCATATAAAAACTACTTAACTTACCCGAAGCAAGTTACCAGATATATATTATAGCTTTGTCTTTTAACTTGCAGTAATTAAAAAGCCACTACTACTATGCTGTAAACACATTTTCGCCTACATTTTATCGTAGATGTATAGCAGGGAAGGGGAACCTTTTTAGGGTTGGGGGCCATCCACCCACAGAAGAATAAGTAGGGGGCTGCATACATACAAGTGAGAAGCAAAAAAACAAAACAAAACCCTCACTGATGAAGTCCCTGACTGAGAAGGAGAAAGAGACTCCCCACATTCCCTTCACATACCAGAGCCTAGGAGGGGCCAGCATAGTAGATTTTGTGTGCTCCAGCCTCCTGGTGGGATAGCGGGGGGCTGAAGCACCTTTATGGGTTCCCCAATGTGTGTGGGGAGAGGGGAACCATGAGACTTTTTTTGGATCAGAGACCAGACCCAGGTAAGCCTGAGATTTCCCACCCTCATCTAGGTCTATGGATCGCTCTTCTGCTACTAGCACAAGAAACTCATGATGTTCGCTATTAGTATTAATGTGTGTGTGTGTTTTTCTGAATTGGAATTCAGGTTGTCTTTACTGTGCTGCTGAAGTGATATCATGAGTCAGAGTAATTTCATTTACTAATATTTGCTCAGGATATAGAGGACTTCTAATAACCTAAATTTTTATGTTGAGAATGGAAATAGTTTATGTTCATAGAGGAAAAGAGCTCTGAGGTAAAAGTTTCCATGCATACATGTTGGCCCCGTCATTATTAATTGCTGTGGATCAACTTGTCAAATTTCTGAATAAGTCAGAGGATCTGTGAGTCAATGGATGTATTATTTGTTGATCTTTTTCCTCCACAGCTATTTATTAAATGCACAGTTCCAGATCTATATTAAGGAAAGATTTAATATTTTTACAAATTTTACTCAAACTAAACATTGCCATAAGGATCACCAATATTTCCTCTTACGTTACCATGGCTTAAATTCAGAAACATATTTTACATATGAAATATATTATGGAAATCCTAGTGTTCATCAGTCCTTATTTGCTGTGTGTGTTAAACAGGAAAATGTGAGACGGGAAAGTATTTTCCCCTTAGAAAGTCCATACAACATGCTGGGGTTTTTTCCTAATCAAGAGCTGAAGAAAAGCCTGGTTGTCCTGTCCATAGTACTGAGAGAGAGGGGGGGGGGATGGGGATTTAATTTCTATTTTCTCCCCCACCCCTATGATCAGTCTCTTGTTCTCCAGGCCAGAAGGAGTACACTCAGGTTTTGTCTAGATTACATCCCTCTTTCGACAGAGAGATGTAAATTAGATACTTTGAAATTGCAAATGAAGCTGGGATTTGAATTTCCTGTGCTTCATTTGCATAATTGCATCATGGTGCTCTTTCAAAAAATGCTATTTTGAAACGTATCAGAGGGGTAGCCGTGTTAGTCTGAATCCGCAAAAGCGGCGAGGAGTCCTGTGGCACCTGATAGACTAACTGAAGTGTTGGAGCATAAACTTTCGTGGGCAAAGACCCACTTCGTCAGATGCATGTAGTGGAAATTTCCAGAGACAGGTATAAATACGCAGGCCAGAATCAGGCTGTAGATGACGAGGTGGATCCAATCAGGGAGGATGAGGCCCACTTCTAGTAGCTGATCTGGAGGTGTGAATTCCAAGAGAGGAGAAGCTGCTTTTGTAGTTAGCGAGCCATTCATAGTATTTGTTTAATCTGTGCTTCAAG